GCTCAGGGGTGGCCATGCTGTGCCCGCCCGTTCCCCGGCGCTCCAGCCAGACCAGAACTGTGGCCCCAGCCCCAGGGTGCAGGCAGGACCCTCGCTCTGCCTTCTGCTACACCCCCTCCCCTCCAGCACGGCAGTGGGGACCCAGCAGCCTGGCTTTACTGGGAGGGTTCCAGCAGGATGGAGCCTGGGCAGGAGGTCTGCTGGAGATGCACGGGCAACACTTGCCAAAGCCAGGCAGGACATGTTTGGGGAGGGCTTTGTCCATCACACAGCCTGGACTGTGCCAGCCTGCTGGGATTTGTCCCTCACGCTGTGCCCACATGCTCCCCAGCAGCAGCTTACCATGGAGAGAATGACCAAGGCAGGGAAGAAGCCCATGATAACGTAGCACACCAGCTCCACCAGCTTGTACCTGCGACCAACAGAGAAGCTGCTTGGAGGCAGGTGCAGAGAGAGCCTGGAGCTGGACACGTGCAATGTTCGCTGCCATGCTGCAGGAAGAGGTGCCACCACGGGAGGTCCCATGTCCTCAGGTGTGAGCCACACCACCGTGACAGGGCTGGCACCCTGCTCCAGGGCTGACGGACCCCAACCCCGGCTTGGGAGCCGCCAGCACCCGGCGCTTGGGGCTCTGAGGAGGCATCTGGGACCTTTGGGTTTCTATTTGGTGCCACCACGTGGAAGAAGCGACTCATGGCAACACCTCTCTGCTCCCGCGTCCCTGCCCCACGTTCCTCCTCCCACATCCCTGCCACCAAAGCTCCTACAACCAGGGTGCAGCTGGGGAAGGACGTGGTCCAAGGAAACTCTCCACTGCCAGTTGACCAGGAGCCTGCCCAGAGACCACGTACCCATCTATCTGTCTGTCTCCATCCTTCTCTCTCTCCTCTGCAGCTTGACCACCATTGGGGCATGAAGAGGGGCTGGAAGAGCTGAGCTAGACTCTGCAATTCCCAGCAGCACGGGGCCAAGTGGAGGCACTCACCGCTCATGGAAGAAGAAGACGTAGACGGTCCCGACAGACGCCATGATCCAGATGATCCAGCGCATGTGGGAGGCCCAGGGGCCCAGCTCCCTCAGGTTCAGCCTGCAAGACCCAGGGCTGGGGTGAGTCAGGTCGAGGGCAGCACCTCAGTCTGGGCTGCAGGGGAAATGCTGCCCTCACCCCCATGGCTGTCCCACCAAAGGATCTTCCCAACTTGTAACTTCAACGTAAAGGGGTTGAGATCTACAGGACAGGAAGGTTTTGTGGACAGGGGTAGGGTACAGCCTCAAGCAGAGCCAAAGCTGAAGAGGGAAACTCTCCTTGTAGGAGCTGAGTTGATTTTTCCCCTCCAGTGGGGCCAAGGGATGGCCCCCACCCTCCAGAACTCACCAGGGAGCGTACGACGCCGCGATGAAGAAGTAGATCACCATCCTGTCAAACATGTGCAAGCAGTGCTCCACAGTCCTGGGGACGGGCACACAGACAGGTCACAGCCTCAGCACCAAGTGCCTCCAGACCCCAGCACCCTTCCCGAGCCCTGAGCAACCAGGGCTGGTACCTGAGATGCCTCTTCTTCCAGGAGATGGTGTGGAAGATGGTGGAGACAATGAAGAGGCTGGACAAGCCGAAGCCATAGATCCAGGCTGAGATAGTTTCCCACTGGTCATCAGAGAGGATGTAGAGGATGGAGCTGCCAAGGATGCTGGGCAGGATCCAGAACTGGAAGGGAGAAGCAAACCTGTCGTTGACTCTTTGCCTTTCCAATGAGCAGCTACAGCACAGTATCGTCTATTCCTTTTAGGTGTTTCTCTTGCTTTGGGTCAAAGTTACCATCCATAAGGGGCAGGCTGGCCACCCACACGGGCCAGCCAGGGCCTGTCCCTGCATGGTGCTGCTGCAAAACAGTTTCTCTGGGTGAAGGTAGGGAGGAGGAGGAAGGCACAAGGAGGATGGCTACCTCTGAGTCACCGCCCAGCACTCAGAGTGGGAGCTGCCAGCTCCTGAGGGAAGCCCTGATGTGGGGAGCACTCGCTCCCACAGCCACCCGGGCAGCCCCATGGGGCTCCTGTCACCCTTCCTGCTGGGAGGAACACTCCGTTTTCAGGGAGCTTTGCAAAATCCTCCTGCTCCACTAAGCCCACAGCCAGATTCCCCGGGGACAGGGGGACGTGGTGGGTGAGAGCAAGGGAGACACACACCAGCTTCCCAGGGCAGAAGCAACGAGAGCATCTCCACTGCCCAGGAGCATCTGGGGCACATCTGCCTCATCACAGACCCGAGACCCTCAGCAGCTGCTCCAGGGCTGAAAAAGACATTTTTAGGTGTTCCTTGAGGTCCCTTGGGGGATCCCCAGAGAGCTGAGTGCCGTTCTCCCTCACTGGGGGATGGGGACAGGGACTCACTGCGTGGGTGGCACAGTTGGCCGCGTGCTCGTACTCGGTCGGCTGGTACCTGCAGTTGGATGGGACACGGTGGTTCATGAACCTGCAGTGAGAGAAACATGCTCAGAGGGTGGGGGTTGGGAGAAAACCCTCTTGGAGGGGTCTGCAGAGGGACACCCCCCAGCTTGGAGCCCCACCTCAGTTCAGCATCACTCCGGCTGCCCTGCAGCAGCGACCCCAGCCCTGGGCACAGCTCGTCCGTCTGTCTGGCCCCAAATGCCAGGGCCCCAGGTCTGGCTCAGCTGTGGCTCAGGCTGAAGCATTTCCCAGGAGATGCTGTTGCTTGGAGAGCAGAAGGCAGGAGGCAGCTCAGCCTGCTGCTGCGGGCAGGAGAGGGCAGGCAGGGCAGGCTGGGGAGAGCCCCAGCAGTGAAGAGGGCACATGGGGTACCAGGGGGACCTGCTGTGTGTCCCTGACCCATCTGGAGGTGACCCCCTTATGTCACAGCAGCATACCCAGCTCTGATGAGGGTGTCCCCATGACGCCTTTGTTTCGGGGCACCACCTCCATCTACCTCCTGCCCACGGGGGCTGCCCATTCCAGCAGAGACTGCTGTGGGGGGAACCCCCACCACGCTCCTTTGGAAACCTGTACCTTTATTTCTGTTTCTCTCAGTCTGAGGTATCAGTTTGCTCTTGGTGTCTGGAGGAACATCTCAATTTCCCCTGTCAGACCAACACACAGCAATGAAAAATAGTGTCAGGCTTGGCTGGTGCACTGCTGGGCACAGAACTGTGCTGTGTTAAGAGGCAAATTAAACGTGTGTCCATGATGACAGGTCAGAGCTAAGTGGTGCTTGCCCAGTGTCCTCTTCTGGCAGTGACCAGCTGTGGAGGCTTAGCAAAAGGGATGAGAAATGGGCAAATAGAGAGTGATCCTTCCCTGGCTGCTCCTGGTAATGAAGGGTTTAAAGACTTTTTCTGCCGTGGCTCAGGTCAGGATGAACAAACTGGGCAGGCACTGGTGGGGCTGTCCTGCAGGACCTGGACTAATTGCTTTCTGACCTCATTTGCTCTCAGCTCCAGCACCATCTGTAGCATGTTTCACAGCTGAGCTGTGCCTGGCAAGGGGGCTCCAGGGGCTGCCAGGACCTTGCCACTGGGCACGGAGTGACCCCAAAGTCCAGGGCACTGGGGAAGTCACTAGAAGTCCCCTCTCCCCATCGCCAAGCCACCCAGACCCATGTGGAGTTCTCTGCCACCTCCTGCCTGCTCAGTCCTTTAAAAGTGAGCCAGGATGGATTAAATCCCTGACACGACAGGGGTTGAGCATGGGGGAGTGTGGCCACAGCGGGTGGGGCTGTGCTCCCCAGCCAGTGGCACTGACATCCAAAATGCCAGCACTGCAGCAAGGCGTGGGGTCACCACCACCAAAACTGTCCTACATTAGGAGGGGGAAATGAGGGGGGGCAAGTTCCCACTGCTCTACAAATCGACAACCCATGCTGGGTAAAGCAGGGTGGCAGCCAGGCACCCCTGGGGACAGCAGGGACACCCTCCCCAACCCCTCCCTCCACCACGGGGGCTGGCTGGGCTCCCCATGCCAGAGCCACGTCCCCTGGCAGGAGAACATGACTGTCCCCAGCTCTGCCAGCACACTGTCCCCAGCACTGCCAGCACCCTGTCCCCAGCACTGCCAGCACACTGCCAGGACACTGTCCCCAGCTCCCCTGTGCTTTCTGCTTCCCTTTCTTTTCCCTTTTAATAATAAGAAGGCGGGGGGGGGGAGAGGAGGAGAAGACAGACATCCCTCATGACGTCATGGTTGCTGAGGAAACATGTTCGAGGCCTTTTCCTTGAATTTGTTTGTTTTAACAAAGCCTTCCATGGTCTCATCTTCATCCTGGCAGTGGCTGTTTGGAGCAGTAATGGGGAGCAGCAGCAGGGTCAGCTCCCACAGGCACCTATCCCAAGGCTGAGGGGTCCCCAGACCCTTTGGGAAGGGAGCCCTGGGGTACAAATATCCTCCCTAGCTCTGGTGAAGCTGAAGGACCACCTCAGCCCTCCCCATGGGATGAGGTCAAACAGCACGTGTGTCCCTGAAGCCCAAATCCCAGCACCTGCTTTTCCCAGAGGGAGAAACAGCCTTGAGGAGGAACTCTTTTGTAACCTGAGGAGAGATTGCTCTTGTTTTCCTGCCCTGCTTTCCAATAATCAAACTTTGATCTGATCCCTGCAGCACGTGTCCTGCCTGGCTGGCTGAGTCCATCATCACCAGCAGCTCCCTGTCACTGCACCCATCTGCCTGGGGACACCCCCACAGTGTCCCGGGGTGGGAGGAGATGGGTCAGGGAAGCTGCTGCCAGGTGATCAAACACTGGCTGGGCTCTTCAGGGCATTTTAGCAGGTGCTTAAGGGTTGCAAAGCCCAAAAGACACATGGAAGTTTAAAGCCTCCTGCAAGGCAGGAACATGAGCATGTTTAGGAGCACTGTGTCCAGCTCAGGACAGATTTTTTTTTGTTGCAACAGGACAAGGGGTGATGG